GTGTAGGGTCACGGTTCCAACTCCGGGATAGAGAAGGTTACCTAGGGGCTCTTGAACCTCAACTCCGCGGCGCCCCGGGCCAGAGCCCGCAGCCAACCCGGCGCCCGTGTGTTGTGTGTGTGTCTAACACCCGGTCCATGCCGGCCGCCCGCGCCCGCCCGCCGCTGCCCCCCAGTTCGAGGAAGACATCGCAGCGAAGGAGAAGCTGCTGCGGGTGTCGGAGGACGAGCGGGACCGGGTGCTGGAGGAGCTGCACAAGGCGGAGGACAGCCTCCTGGCCGCCGATGAGGCCGCCGCCAAGGTACCCGGGGCGCGCGGCGCAGCGCGGTGCACGAATGGCTAACTCTGTCTCTCTCTCTCTCCCTCCCTTCCTGTCTTCCCCTCTCTCTCTCCCGCTGTCCCTGTCCTTCTGGTTCTGTGCACCCACACCCCTCCCGCTGCGGGATCACGCTGCCTGCTGCACCCCACCCCCACCCCGTCCCCCACGGCCAACTCCCAGCTGGAAGATGAGCTGGTGTCGCTGCAAAAGAAACTCAAGGGCACCGAAGATGAACTGGACAAATACTCTGAGGCTCTCAAAGATGCCCAGGAGAAGCTGGAGCTGGCAGAGAAAAAGGCCACCGACGTAAGTGCACGTACACACTGGCTCCCTCACCTCCTGCCCGCGTGGCCACTTTGGGGTCACCACAGGGGCCAGAGAGCAATGGAGGAGGGTCACCTCCTCCAGCTGAACACCTGCACACAGCCCCGCCATGGCCCAGAGCACTGGATGTTGCCTCTGACTGCTATTGCACACATTCATTTTTATTTCATCCACTCCTGTCTCTCCTTTTCTCCTTCTTTCCCCCAAATCTGGGGGTGGAGGTGGGCGGGTGAGAAACTGGGAGAATAGAGCGGCTGAAATTGCTCGCTGGAGGTGAACCTTGCCTCCCTGGTGGCGGAAAACCTCTGAGGTGTCATCATCAAGGTTTGTGCAAATAGAATGCCTCACTTTCTTCACTTTCTTTCCTCTTGCCATCTCTGGTGAGTGGGAAGGCCTGGTTTTCCATGGTGGGTTTAGTCAGGGTACAGAGGACTCAGCCTCTAAATTGAAGGAAGGCCATGTGCTCTTACTTGGAAGGCTGAGGTTGATGGTGAGGTGCAGAGACCTCTGAGGCCTCCTTGCTCACTAGAGAAGCCTAAATCCAGCCCTTAAGATATGCCTGGGAAGATGATACTTGCTTGGGTCTGCAGTCTGAGGGCCCTAGATCCAGAAAGTACACTGGAAGTTATATATAGCTCAGTGCTTTATATGGTATAGTGAGCTAGCTGCCCCCTTCCCCTCCTGCACACCCCACCCCCACCTGTCAGTCTTCTGACAACCACCACATAGTTTTAGGGCTGATGCACACACTGCAAAAGCTCCACCAGCACTTGTCTGCTGCCCTTTGTAATCTTTTTAGCTGAAGAGCTTGCCTCTTCTGCTGCCTAAGTTGGAGCCAAGCATTAGATTTCCAAAGGACCGACTTCTTTACACACCGGTGGATTCCATTCTAGAAGCTAATTAAGCCTAGAGGCACAATTAGGAAAGAATCCCTTGGAAAATTGGTAACAATTCCAAGAATGTATGAGCATGCGGGGAAAGCTATGTCCAGAAGTTGAACTACCAAGCGGGACTGCAGAATTTTTTTGTATGGGAGTATAATGCAAATTGCTAGAGGGGTCTTGGGTCTTGAAACCAGTAAAGGCTTTTTGTGGCATGAAAAGCCTGAATTGAAATCTCCAAGTATGCATTGTAAATAAGAAATCCAGACCTAGGACATGTAGAATCTGACCAAAAAATTTTCCATGAAAATCAAGGTTCCTGGAAAGGGGATTCAGGGAAGCAGCGATTTAGCAAAAACATTAAAAATTACAAACTATCTGGCTTTAGAAAAAGAGACAAAAAGCGCATATAACTCTGTGCCTGCTTTGTATAATATAGATCAGATGTCTGCTCCGTACATGGCTAAATGGAGGAGGTCTGTTTCTCCCAAATTCTCCAGCAGGACGTTTATTTCGCTTTTTCAAAAGAGTCGCTGATAGATCAAGGAGAGATATTCCTTATAAGGAAAAGAATGCAGAGAATTTATAAAGAGCACAGTTAAGACTGAAGGCAAAAGAAGGAGGAAAAAAAACTACAATTTTTCTGGGAAAAAAGTTAGAATTATTGTATTGTAACTATATGGTGCTATCATGTCTTCATTGAAAAGTCTTGTTTAGGGAGCAGTGGAACGAGGTGGGGCAGACGGAGAACTGGGGATATTTAAAGCTTGGGGAAGGGGGTGGGGCCAGCAAGGGAGGGAGATTTTTGAAACTTTTTTTTCCACTGGAAAACTGGCCCTAATATGATACACTCTTTTTTTTCTTTTTCTTTTTCTTTTTAGTAGTATCTTGATTGTCTTCCCCTTTAGGACATCTTAGGTTGTTGGAACTAAGGATGTTGAATTAGTTTGTGAACACATGCTATACATAGAGTGAGTGATTCCTAACTAGTAAAACTAGTCAAGACCTAGGGAGAAACAGAAGTCACTAAAGAAAGAGGGAAGTGGAGAGAGGTCAGCTTCCTGGGGTAGAGGAATATTACATTTGAGATTAGGACATTTTACTGTCATTACTCATCAGTGTAAAACATTTTACATTTTTCTAAAGTTTACCGACATACTTTAGAAATCCTGTTCCAGAAATGGGTTCTTCCTAGCTTGAAAGGTTGTCATTCATGAGGTAGCATCGCTGATGGTTTTGTTCTTAAACTATTTTTGTTCCACCTGAGTAAGGCTGACAGGGACCAATGGCTCTGTTTTCTCTCGGGCCCCCAACACTTCCCCAACAACTGTGATATATCTTACATTTGCCCTGTATGAGTCTTTACTCTCTGTATATTGTGTTTCTGAAATCAGTGATTCTCAACCTTAACTAAACAGAATCACCTAGGGAGGTTTTTAAATCTATAATCCAGGCTGCACCCAGGCCAATTAAATCAGAACTGCTGGGTGTGGAACCCAGGTGTTAGTATTTTTTTAAACACCCAAGTGATTCCCATGTGCAGCCAAGGCTGAGAACAACTGTCCTAAACGCTTCTATAATGACATCAGCATGAAATGGAATTCACCTGAAACTGACTTTCCCAGGTGTTTAAAAAAAGGACATTAAGTCACTGGTTGAATTCTTAGGGCACTTTAAAGTGTCCAGCAGTTTCCCTGGCTCCTCTTGGAGGCACCCAGACACTTTTTCCCCCACCTCAAAGTTGGAGGTCCAAGGGCTGTACTCTTCGAGGAGTTATAACCTCCTTCCTGACCTGATGAACTATGTAGGAACAAAGCAAGAGGCACCACCTACAGGATGTGAGGGGCCACGCTGGGGTTTGTGAGTCTCACCAGAGGCTGTGACACTCCATAGAAAATGAGTGAGGAAAGCAAAGAAGGCTTGTTAGGCCTTTGGAGAAGGAAGGGGTTGTCCAGTATGTTTTCTTTTTCCTCGTTATTCCCACACTTAAGCACACCAGGACCTGACTTGAAGGGCCTCCTGTGAGAAGAGCAAGGAAGGAAAGCTATGAGATTAGAAGGCATTTAAAACGCAGCCCAAGGGAGAATTGGCAGAAGATGGTTCCCAGTTGGTTTTTATCCAGCTGTAGCCAGAGACCAGAGACTCTCAGAGGGTTCTGTAGCCTTCCTTATTAGCATGCCTTTTAAAGGCATCCCACTCCGGCCCAGAACTGGTCAGATTCCAGAAGATACTAGAGAAGGTTGTAACTAGAAGTAGAACCCTTGAGATGATTGTTTTTATGGAAAGGAAGGTGAGCCTCAGAGAGGCTGGCCGGCCTGAGCCCCGTAACACTGCTGATAGGCCCCAGCCCGACTCTTAAGACATTGCCTGCATATATATTAACTATAAAGCAGCTATCATTCGAGTTCTTCACAAGGTATTGTGCTAAGCGTTCTACATCTGCTTCATCCTCATAGCAGCCCTATGAGGGAAGTATTAACCCCACTTTTACAGATGAAGCGCAGAGAAGTTAACAGCCAGGAGAGACCTGGGAGCCAGATTCCAACCTAGGAAGACTGCATTTAGAGTAGGTTTAACTATGTTGGTGGTTTTCACTTTGTGAATTTTGGAGGGGGACGAGGGGTGTTGTGCTTAGGATCTTGTGTTTTGGGTTCTTTTCAACGAAGAACAGTCCTTTTGGGGGCACATTCAAAGGCCCCCAAACCATTCGCTCAGTTTTTCATCCTCCGGGCATGGGAATCCGGGACTCTAGGGCGAAACACTCCCGCCGCCACTAGGCGGCACCATTGCTCTCAGCAGTCAGGTCCGTTACCCCAGGCCACCAAAGAGCCAGGGAAGGACGTTGGGAGTCGCAGTAGAACCCCTGGCGCAGTGGCCTCCCTCCCCGCCAGGCCTAGCCGGCCAGGTGCCGCCGCAGCGAGCCCACCAAGCCCGCCAGCCAGCCTTCGCGAGCATGCGCAGTGCCTCGCGCGGTTTGCAAATTGCCGGGGCCCGCGGCGCGCGCCCCGCCCCGCCCGCCGTGCCCGCCCCCGGCGCTCGCCGCACCCGCCTGTGGTTCGCCTGCGCCGCCCAGGAGACCGCGACTTCCGGGCTGGTGGTGGACCGTAGGGGGCGCCGCCGTCGTGCGGCGAGGCCTGGGCGGGGTGGCCGGCGCTCGGGAGTGCGGCAGCGGCGGCCGGAGTGCAGCAGCCGGCCTCTCCCACCGCAGCCTGACCGCCGCTGCCCCGCGCCATGGCCGGCAGCAGCTCGCTGGAGGCGGTGCGGAGGAAGATTCGGAGCCTGCAGGAGCAGGCGGACACCGCGGAGGAGCGCGCGGGCAGCCTGCAGCGCGAGCTGGACTATGAGAAGAAGCTGAGGGAGACCGTAAGGGACCCACCCATCACTACCCGCACCCGAGGCGCCCCTCCCCACGAGCCCCGCTAGGCCCCCGGAGCCACCTACCCTGCCCCACCCCCTCCCGGGAGCACCTGGCGCACCTGGGGCGGCTGGCGTCGGGCTCCGGGGAGGGGCCCTGCCTGTTCTCAGCCCGTCCTCTCCATCTCGCTGGTAAAGTAAAAGCTCTGAGGGGAAGCTGGAGTGCTGTTGAGAAGGTTCTGGAAGGAGCACTTTCCTATAAGGGGTTCTATATCTGGGGTGCAGCCTACGTGCTGCCCTGGTGTCTTGGGTGCTCCCGGAATGTGCACTTTGCGCTGCTGGCATTATTTACTCAGAGGGTGGAGAAGCAAGAGGGAAACCCTTCTGAAAATGCTTCCTTTGGGAAGGGGCGCTGTCGGGTCAAGTTTGAGGAACTGTGACTCCATGGGGCCCGAGGATGCTGAACTCCACCATCCCCTCTGACCCTTGGTTTTCTGGAAGCCTGTTTCTCTGTGTGGTTGAGACACTGACAGTGCCGGGATCTGACTTAGGATAGTATGCGGCCGGTTTACCTTTCCCTTTCTTAACTAGCCCCCGCCCAAGTTCTGTAGAAGAGATAGATATATCTGTATAACAGATGGATACCCCTTTGTTAACGAGTCTTGAAAAAAGTTGGCTAAATGTCAACGACTACCGGGTGTATTCCCTTGCTGGCCTCCCCCTCCCCCACATTGAATGTAATACCTGGCTTCCTTTCCCCTGAGGAAAATGTGTCCAGCAAACAGGAACAGGATTTCAGAGGTAGTTTAGGCATTTGCTGTTTGTTGATTTGAGAGAGAGTGTGTGTGTATGTGTGTTTTAAATCAGGATACTCAAACACCTTAGGTATTTTATGACAAGCAATAATACGATGTCCAGCTGTGCTTAATAAGGCCCTATTCCAATTTCAGTAAATCGTACTGGTTAAGTGTTTGTAATGTTAAGGCGTATGTCTGGCTACAGAAGTACAAGACCTGTTTTGCATAAAATACAAAGCAGTAAACAGTCTCCTTAAGTGGAAGCCCTACCTAGAGGAAATTCCAGGGTAAAATACAGACAAGAATCAGGAAATCAATAAGCAAAAGATAATTTTCTTTACAGGACAAGTCAGCAAAGATCCCAAAGATCTGAATTGGGGTGATAAATGGATTCTGACTCCCTGTCTGACTGGCTAGCCACTGTCCTTGAACCATAAAAACTAATAGAACGTAATGGATAAGAACCAGAACTCTGGACCCAGATTGTCAGGATTGGAATCCTGGCTCCCCCTATTTAACTACCTGTGAGACCTTGAGCAAATTAACTTCTCAATTCTCTGTTCTGGAACTGTGAAATGTGGGTATTAACAGTACCTACCTGCTGTGCGGAGGAAAGGCGTTAGTAGGGACTTACAGTGCAGCTTAGCACACCGGAGTAAGCGCTCTGAGGGTCTGCTGGCATTAAAACTGCGCCACTCTCGGCACCACACATTGCTCATCCCCTTTCAGTTCACTGATGAAAGGGTCTTGAAAATGGCGTGCTCGTTTCACTATATCTTGAAACACTCCATTTAAATGCTTTTGATTCATTTTTTTTTTCTTTTTGGAACTTGAATGGAGATAGGACCTGGGCAGTCTGAAAGGAATGCTTGCTTGATGGGTTGAAGTGGTATTAATGGTAGAAGTCAGTAGACCTCCCCTCACCCTGTTAAGCAAGGGAATATGTGCTCCTATATTGGAGAGCTTTGTATTGACTGCTGGCCTAATAATTGATGTCAGCCCCAGAAGGTAAATGAAGGGCACGTTGTTATTTTTATATTCAGCTTCTCTGTTTCACATCATTTTTATAACAGTAATCTTCATGCACCAGTGGGCTAAAGAGGATGCTTTTATTCTTTTCAAAGCTTAATATTAAACGTGGTTTAAATAACTTCAAATTTTTAAAAATAATTTTTGAAAAAAGTCTATCCAGGTGATAGGACACAGAACCTTTTAAAACAGCAACTTGAGGACTGGGTCAGACCATGGAAGGGAGAATCTCAGGTTGAGTTACTCCTAACTTCTGAAACTGGAAATTACCAGCAGCTAATATTTAAGGTGGTTTCTTCGTAGTTGTCAGACGTGAGTTAAGCTAGTAGTCACAGTTTCTCCTGGCAGCAGAGATAAAGTTTTAGCGAGCCACTGCAAAAAAATATTTCACCAGACTGTTCCCAACTTCAGATTCTCAGACATTCAGACAGGCTATAGTTAATTGACTCTTTTACACCAGCACTTCTTGGAAACACCAGCCATCCCTACTTCCTACTGGTTTGTTTATCCAAGGTGTGTGGGCCCTTCAAAATGTTGGAATGAGGCTGCTTTCCTTGATGGAATGGTTGACTCTATGTCTTGTGACCCACTGGGGTTTTGTTTGTTTTTTGTCATTATCAAAGGAAAAAGTAGGAGAAGGAGCCAATCCTTCCTCCTTTCTGGATAGTACCCAACTCTTTAAGGAGACTTTAAGGAGACTTAAAGTTGCAGCCCGAAGGTTCATAATTGCTAACTTTATTAAATCATGGGAAATAACCAGTTTACAAAAATTCTCAGCCCTCTCCCTCTTTAGAGTGGGTAAATGTTTCTGAGACCAGGAAACTGAGAGTGCATTTTGTGCTCACACTGGCACCCCCCAGGGTGGCAGTAAGTGGAATCTACACTCCGGATTTCTGCTTTCATATGTAGGCAAGGCAGAGGCACTGCAACGTCCTGTTTATGTCAGTTCTCTCATTATACAAACATGCCTCTTAAATTATAGGCTTTGGCACAGATAGGAGGTTGTGTTTATCTGCTATCCAGGGGAGTGCCCCTTAATGTCATCACTGTTTTTCCCCCCTTTCCTTACCATATAAGGGCAGAAGTTTAACTTGGCTGTAGTCACTTAGTCTTACACAGCAAGTTGGGTGAAACTTCTGTACAACTACAATTTGCGTGAAATAAAAAGGCCTGACCTTTGATCACTCCATGCTCTCCTCTGGTTTCGGCAGGACTTTGGAAATATACCCCAGAGGATCAATTTTTAGGAGATAATATTATTCTCCTATGATTATTTCTTCTTAACAGTCTTCAGTGGGATACTTTTTTTTAAGTAACAGTAATTACTATTTGTTTATTTTAGTTGTGTTGGCTAAACATCTGGATTTCATGAACATCTAAGCCTTGTGAAAGTTTTCTTTCAAATCTGATTTGAAGTAGTATTTTGCTATATTGGAGCAGGAATGCTCTTGATTTCTGTGTAGTCCTTTGTTGGGATGGGGGAAGTGGTGTACCTGCCCTTGCTTTTTATATAGGTAGCTAGTTCAGGAGGGGAGGAGGGGCAGCTCTGTGGCACTTCGCAAGTGCCGAGTGCCTGGTGGTGGTTCCACCACAGATCTGCCGCGAGACAATGGGTAGTCTTTACTAACATAGCAAGCAGTCGCTTTTTTCTCAGTAGTTCATTACATGTTGGGAAACAATAGGACTTTTGAAATAAAAGAAGCTATCTCAATCTAAGAGACTTTCCTGACACTGTCAACACGTGGGCCCTTGTTAGAAGCAGCTAACCCAGAGCGCTAAGGGTGATTTCCACGCTTGGAAATAATTTGCGTCTGGGGTCTTGGCCCTTCTCAAACACCTTGTTGTTTACATCTGCTTTTTAAATAACAGATGGTCATGTGCCTGTGGGCTTGTGCTGGCAGAAGCAGCAGGTTAAGTCTGAGGTCTGTGATGAGAGGACTTCAGGAAGCATCTGAGTAAGCCTCAGAACTTAGAGAACTCATCCCAGAAATAATAGCTAGTGAAGGTAAGAGAGATAGGGACCTTTTGAACAAAGAGCATAATTTTAAAAAACAGTAAAAGTAAGAAAGAAGAAAGAAAAAGACGTGCCCTTACTTGGTTTATGGAATTAAGCATATCTTGAATTCTGCAGATCAAACAAAATTGCAATCACACCAGTACAGCAGGACCTAAGCAGCCAGTGGGGGTCCAGGTTTTTCCCAGGGGAAGCTTACAGAGTGGTGGATGCCCCAGACACTGCCCTCAGTCCAGGGCACCTTCGCCTGTCCTACTTTGAAACCTCTGGGGCAGCAGCCATTGCTTCTGGAACTCACAGGCAGATGTTCTGTGCCCTTATGTGAGCTTTCCACATTAGTGTGACTTGGTGAAGTGTTCAGTTTCATACACACCTATTTCAGAACGAGAGGACTTGCCTAGTGGGTGATTTCAATACAGTAACTGCTCTAGTCCTGGTTAGGCTGTCGCTGAAGGCCTTTCTTTTGGTTGGGGAAGTTGGGGTGGGGGTGGTTGTAGAGAAGCTTCCACTCTGATGGACGAAGAGAGAAGACTTCAGCGGTGAGACCCACCAAATCCAGGGCTTCCATGAGGCCATGAGAAGTGGCAGAGCCAGCACCGAGGATGCCGGCAGGTTGGGTTTTAGTCCTATCTCCCCCGATGGCTGGAAGGCCGGAGCGTAGTCAGCACTCTGGTCAAAGGTCCCTCCCTTCCTCCTCCTGTCCTCTGAATGAAGAGCTAGGAGAGTGGTTCCCATAGTGTCTGCCAGCTTCTTTGGGAGATGGGCCCGGGAGGGCAGTAGTGGAACAGACTGCTTACTTATAGTGCAGATTCCTGCCCTCCCCTGACCTCCTGAGGCAGAATCTCTAGGGATGGGGCCTGGACGTTTGTATCTTTAAAAATACATCTCCTTAAGGATTCTGACACTCAGCCAGTTGTGAGAACTGCTGGCCAATGCCTAGGGCCCCTTCTAGCTAAACAGCTGAGACCCTGCTTTGTGAACCACCTGCAGGTCTGCCCTCTGTGTGTGCACAGTCCTGCCTCCTGCAACAGATCTCCATGCCCAGTCATTGCTTGGCCACCTGGTGTGAGGCTCTCTTGGCTGGGATTCTGATAGGACACAACCCATAATATCAAGCAGTCTAAAATACTCTTGCAGGGGAAAGAGTGAGTGCCATTTATAAAACAGTGTCAAGAGCTGAAAGAAAGAATGGTTACAGTGGTGGAGGGGGTAGGGGGGCAGTAAGAGGGTAGATACAGATTAATGGGGAGACCTCAGGGAGAGTGTGTGTAGAGGCAGGAACAAACATGAGGTGCTATCCCCTTACTCCGATGCCCCAGCTGTGTGGGAAGCTGGAGACCTAGATTGGCCTGTCACCCGGAAGGTTCTCTCCCTGGAGCATAAACAGTCTCCTCTCTGTGAATCCAGAGACCTCAAGGCTGAGGCCCAGATCGAAAACAGAGCAGGAAACTTACTAGAGTGTGGCGGCTACAAAAAATGTTTTGAAAAACTTGACATCTCTCTGGCCGTACCACCTGTAACAAGGATATTTGCCTTCCTAGTAAAAATAATAAGGAACTTGATGATAGGGGGGAGTCTAGGAACCATAATGTTGCTCATGTAATTGTAGATTAATGATACCAATAAAATAAAATAAGGAAAGGGGAAAAAAGAAAAATACTTTCAAGTACATGATCTAAACACTGAGGTTTTTTGGGTGTTTTTTTTTTTTTGCCTTAAACTCTGAGATGCTTGTTTTCCCCATTCATAAAAGAAATAGAATTTTACTAGAAATGAAAAATACAGAAAAGTGAAGCTGAGCTGCACCAGATGTA